AACCTCTGGGTGTATAATTTTTGGGAGTGAGGAACAGCAAGAGAAGATTCCCAAGGATACAAATTTTATGTAGATGAGTGAGATTATGTGATTTGCATTGGGTAAATAAGCATTGAATATGAATGGGTGTATATTACATGAGGCACTTATCCACATGCTAATGTATCATCATTCATTAACTGCTTACCATCCTTGTCTCTCTGATAAACCATGCCACAATGGATCTGTTCTTACTTTTCTCTCAATCAGTTTTTTCCACAGCATACCATCAGCAATTACTCTTCTCCATTCTTTACAAACAACTTCAGCAGCACATAATGACTTGGCATCCAAAAATGAAAGAATACTTTCTGCTATATGGTCAAGACCTTTTGCTACAAAACAAAGCACAATTATTACCTTATTACCTTAATCTGAATAAGCAAATTTGAAAAAAATTCTGTTCTATACTATTTTTATTGCCCTATCACTATAATGATATCACAGCATATGTATACCTATTGTATAGGGTATATCTATTTGGTGGATAAGGCAATTCACACTTCCCCATTAAGACTATGTGTATAGAGCTTATGTAGATATTTATGTATAAATCATCCCTATTAAGCGACGTAATTATTGTCTATTATTCCTTGGTAAGATCAGTTGTGGAATATGCTGCCGCCGTTTTTTCTAACCTACCACAACACCTTGTAATGGCTTTAGASAGTCTTCAAAAACGATCACTTAAAATTAAATTCCCTGATTTAAGCTATGAAGCTGCCCTAYGTGCTTCCCATCTTGAAACATTACAATCTCGTAGAACCATCATCAGCTCAAAATTTATTAAGAACTTGAAACMTGATAAYCCTGTATTTACATTAGTTAAGAGTAGGATCATGCCCAGGGTTCTTACCTATAATTTACGTGACCAGAGAAATTTTTCTTTAGCACCTAMGAMAACTAACCRATTTAAGAACTTTGTAACATGTAAACTGTCCTATTTGCTCGCTTAATTCTGCTGACCCACCTGTAATTCAGATTATTCTGCAAGAGGTGTCTATTAAACAAATCTATTTATGATCTTATATGATTTTTCTTTGATTTGCTATCATTTCATCCCTTTATGCTGACCAATGAAAGTAAAGTTTGCCATTCAAATCTCAAAATGTTTGATGTGATGTCATTACATGATAGGATAATTCAAAAGATACTCTGAATAAAAATCATGTAGCATCATGATAGCATGACATGACCTGGACCTAATATTCACAGCTGTGTTTGACTGCCTTCAGAGACTTTTCTTAATATGTACATGTATTCTCCAACTTGGCCACAAATATTGTATCCACAACATACAGATTAGTATCATGGTACTGGTTACATTTAACATATAATTATCCATGAAATTTTATTTTATCTCATTTCATTTTCCAACTTTAATCATCAACAGAACAAAAAGAGATATCCAAATAGGACAATACAAACAGGCAGTCTCTTCAAGGCATTTCCCCAGGCTAAGACAGAAAACAAATGATAATAAATAAACAAAATACAATTACTGTAAGATCTATTGCAGGTGCAATCACACTCTTCTACTTATGAAATCTCACTTTATATTYACTGGTGAAATTAAAAAAAATTGTGGTACGTAAATATTAGAGGTTCGATAAATAAAAGCTACATTTCAAACATTCTTGCTATTGTGGATTCTACCGTAATATACAAAAAAAAACAATATTTCATGGTCCCTTAAAGATACATGTTTAATCTTCCAGTGATGATTGAATCTCTCTATTACTCGCTACTTTTAGAGAAATATTTTCAACACTTAATCTTCACACACCCATGTAATATCATCTATCTCTGTTAGATAAATATAGTTTATCATTTGGAAGTCCTAGCATTTTATACATCAATATTCTACAATGTTGACTTTAAAGGTTATGACCATAGAAACATTGTAAACATTCAAACTATTGATAAAGTTGTTTATTGAATATGTTTAAGCAGTCAATGGACATTGTCATCTGTCTCATTAGAGAAAGTAAAGGATATGTCCAACTTAAGTCTATCTAAATTATGATACAAAAGTGTCAAACATATCTATGGAGAAGCTTGACAAATAATCCAATTACGTCTAGAATCATCAGTCCAATCCTGAGAGATTCTAATGTTTATGTACATGGGTACAATGTATTTCTATCATATTCAACAAAAAATGATTTGCTCTGCATTGATTATGAATACAGTAATGTGATTTTGGCAACGAGGAGTTCTTCGTGACAGTGTATAACATCAAAACAATCGACTTAAGTCAAGATACTGTTTGGTTTCCAAGATGCTGAATATGATGAGTCATTTTGAAGTATTGTACATCAAACGTTAACGAACACTAATGGCATACACTGTGCTTAATAATTATAGTTTGTGTACTTTAATTACAACATAAACTAACCTGGTAGCGCTGTGATAAAGTCTCTTTGTAGCATTGGTTTGAGATAGGCATTCACATGGCCATGTTGGTAATGGCACATCCTCGATAGTAAATATTCTACAAACTCCACTTGTTCACATTCTGTCCATTTTTCAAAAGTTCTCAAACAGTKATCCCTTTGCTCGTAAAATAGCTTTAAGCGTTCATCGCTCTCAGATTTCTTTAAGTCGTCGTCTGTTGCCATGACCTGAAGATTGGAGTTTTGAAACAACAAGTTAGCCGTCTTCTTTGCAAAAATACAGTAGAAAATTAGGTCATTGAAGACATTAAGAGATCAAAAATATATCTTAGAATATTTACTTTTTCATCCCTACTATCGAGTTCAATAGGGTCGATACTCATTTTACAAAAATATCGATATAATATCCTCAAAAATAATTCAAATCCAAAATTTTAGCTTCGTTTCTGCCTACTTGAGTGACATCACTAGACAATACTTTGCGCACGCGCAACGGTATCGATTTATTATTGATTTGAAAATGTACTAGTTTCCAGTCTTCCACCAACAATTTTCACCGGAAGCAGCTCCTGCCGGAAGTCATTGATGAAAGATTTGTCAGTGAAAACAGTAGGTACACCGCATAATCATTTTCATTATCTGCGAAATAAATAATATTGTAATAGCAAAAGTCAAAATTCATTCATAGTGTGACAGTTCAAGCTGCAGGGGCGGATCCAGGGGGGGGGGGGAATGGCTGGCTAGCCAGCCCCCCTCTATTATTTGAAAAAAYATATATAGACTTAAAGTTTTGAAAAAAAGAAATTAAATAACAGRTTCRTTGTATAACGGAAAATATGYATAATTACTTACAATGGAGAGTGAGAAGAACTGTTTGATGTAACTGATGTTTATATCTTTCATATAAAAGTTTGTTGATAAGTCCGAAATATTATAGGTGTGACCGAGATAACAATAAACGATAATTTCACATGAGACTAAGAGTCAAATTTAATTGTAACGTACTTTAATATTAAATTTTAATGTTAGCCACCCCCCTCTAAAAACTCCTGGCACCGCCCCTGAGCTGTAGGGGACACTGAGGTGGCCCCCCTGAGGCGGTCCTCACAAAGCTACTTGCTTGACCGGAGTGCACACTACCAGACCTCCACGTCTTGTTTCCTTTGGAACCAGGACGTTTTGTCGATACCCAATAGGTCCTTCCACCTTTTCTGGAGCCCGATTACATCATTCCCTTGCCAAGCCCAATCATTCATTGTCCAACATGTACTTTTTGGAACCATATTATTTTTTTCAAGCTTAATTCATGTAATCGAAAAATGGAGAAGAAATGAAAAGGCGGCCGCTTTTGTCATATTCTTCACGCGACGGCATCATTAAAAAGGTAGTCTGTCATACAAATATGCGGAAACTGAGCAAAAAAAAACAGGAAATAGTTGAACATTCTTTGACCACGAGACAGAGATTCACTATCATCTTGCTAGCCCTTTCTGTGTACCTTTTCAATGGTAATGGGGTCTGAGAGTAGATGTGACAATGGAAAGACAAGGATTAATCAAAAAACAAACAAACAAACAAACAAACAATGAAAACTGTTTGCCGTATCAACATGTGATTTATTGACTGAGAGGAAGGGCCGGACGGGAAACTATATTTGGATCGAGGGTCTTACCGAAAGACTAAATATTTTCAAACATTAGTGTGGCAAAAAGRATTTTATTCCACAAAGGTGTCATGGAAAGTTTCGAACTATAAACAGTTCGCTGCCAATAGACAATTAAATGTTAAATATCATAAATCAATAAGTTTTTTTACACTTTTAATTACAAGAATGAATATTTTTTGAGCATTTGCGGAACACGTAAAAAATTGAGACGATAAACGAAAGAATGCAAACTGCATTGTGCATTCCAAGACCGTGATGCACTCTGTTTATATTAAAGTCCACTTTACCTGCGTTACAACTATGGCAATTATACACTTAATTTATTCCACTGTCAGAAGTTGGTACACTCACTCTGAAACCCAAAAATATCTGCCTCACCAAAAGTCGTGTTTCGCAGTATCTAGTTATACATGAAAGGTTGTGATTTCAGAGTTTAGACGATTAATTTCAGCTTCTTTTTCTGCTAATATCTTTTGATTTGACTTATTAACTTTGTACATCTTACGACCAAGAATGCATTTCGGTCTTGAAATACCCATCTTCAGTATTCAACCGGCTTTTCTGAAATAGCTGTATGCAATATTCTACCTAAAATTTTCAGCCATCTCGCGTTCAAAAAGTTCAAAGSTTATCATGTTCGATGCTTATCATATTCCGTGTACACATACGGAGCCCATACCAAAATGAGAGATTATCTTAAATTGCCGATACTTCAATACTAAGTTTCCTAATCGATTGCTCAGAATGGATCCCTGTCGAAGTAAGACTGTAGATGAGGAAGAAATTTGTATTTTAAAGGGGTCGTATCCACCGACCTTCAATGTATCGTGCTATAGATTTTTAATTTCATGATACTAGGAAAATGAAGTTATTCAAAATACATCCGCAATCCGCCGAGTTTCTAATGCGTTTTAAAGATCTAATCTTCTCCATTCATAGAGCATTAAGGGATAATAGAGTAAGATTGTGCGTACATTACGGCGTGTTTTTACTTTCAAGCTCGTAGGGGATGCTAGTTAACCATAGGCCTTCAGCGTTCAATATTATTATATGCAGTTTCCCCATTTTTTGTCCCTGCTGTAATTAGATGTTGTCGCGCACCAAAGTTCTTTCCAATAATTTGGTATACATTTGTAATGCCATTTTTTGTTATATTTGAAAGGGAAGACACAGCAAGCTCCGTTGGAATTGCCACCTTGAGTTTTGTAGCCACTTTCACAACTCTCTATAAGATAAAAGAATAATATTGAACAACTATACTATATAACATGCGTCAGAAAAGACCCTTAATTGTCTAACGCTCTGATGCGAAAGGAAGAAGACTAATCCTCTTTAAGCGTACTTCGAATGTAAGACCAGATTCGGTATTTGTCAGTACACCAAAAAGCTGGAGTGGAGTGCTAGAAGTCCTAACAGATCCTAACAGGGAAAAAGGGGAGTGGACGCACCAATTTTTGTATCGACCCACCAATTAAACTTTTCAAAGGAAGTTTGGACATCATTCCATTTCGAAATAATTGTCTCGAGTTGGTTTCTAAAATTAGCAAAAGTCCTAAAGTGAAGCTCAGTGCTCTCTGGACGTACAGTCATACAATATATCCTAATAACCGTCCCTTAATTACTTTTAACCCGAAAATACGATCAACCCCTGCGCGCACCAATTACCACTGTTACCAAGATCACTGAAATTTTCACATTTAAACTTATACTACACTTCGTCTATAAACAAAAACAACATTTTCAAGCTCTGCACAATAAAACTATCTGGCCATGATTACTGACTGTACACGAAGC